CTCAGATTTGGGACACTGCTGGCCAAGAAAGGTCTCCTCCCCCTTTTTCTCTTTTTCCGAGATTAATTTTTATTACAAGTCTCTATCTCGATTATTATGGGTACCCAAATGTTGTTAAGTTGGACTCTGCTCTTTAATTTTTATTTGTCTTCTTATTATCTTAAGTGAAGATTGCTGTTGCATCTTTCATGATTCAATTTTTATGTAGAGAATTATTATCAATATGTATGTCTTGTGATTGTTACTATTGATCTTAACTCATGCTGATTGTTACAGTAATACTAAGTAATTTGATTGATGAAATTTCATCCATCAAGATTTAACTTCTTTTATATGGGTCAATGTGAAATGATAAATTTGCCCACATATAACTATGTTATAATGGAACCAAATGATAATTATGGTTCTTATTATCGTTGCTATATTATTAGGAGAGGAGGCTGTGATATTATGATATGAATAATATTGCATTTAGGGTTTGAGAGGGTCTATCGATTTGTTAAACTGTATTCTGAATTTCAAATGACATGTTTTCTTAATTTGTAATGTGCATCACGTTTTATGTTCTTTTGATTTACATCTTAGGTAAAGGAGTGAAGAGAGAACTATTTTTCACCTCTAGACTTTTGTTTGACTGCTGCATCTGCTCTCAATCATTTGCACGATTTTTTTACACTGATATGCTAAAATTATTTTTTCTTCTTTTCTTATTTGTCTTTTCTCCTTATATTGCATGTTTCAACTTTTTGTTTCTTTGTTGCAGATTGACAGTTGAAATGGTGTATATATTATTTATTTAGTTGACCAAATCACTAATTATGTGAGTGAGACCTGAATTTTCTTTTATACTCATGTATAATCATCTCATGTGCATGAGTTTAATTTGTCTTTTATTGTCTAGAACATTTTAACGGTTTTTTCCCCCCTTTTGAGCTAGACCTAACCCTAGAAACTAGAAAGAGAAGAATTGTATATTAGAGAAGGAAAAAAAATGAAGAGGCAGATGTTCCCCAGCCTCCTACAACAGAATTGAGATAGCTATCTCCCTTCCCAAGTTGAAGTTGCTGCTTTTCAGTGGTAAATGGCAGTTGTGATGCATGATTTCACTTCTCTTTCTTTCTTATGAATTTCTCATTGTTATCTCTATGCTTTTGTTCTCTTTAGGTTTTCTTTTCTCTTAAAGTTAAAGGAAGTAAAAATTTTACTGTTATGTTATACTCGTAGTTCTAACTGTGTATCAGTGGTTTCGTTGTTGGGTTATTACTTTGTTTATTTACCATTTGTTACTTTGTTGATCCCTTCCTTTTCTTGTCTCTTGACAATTAGACTTTTGACTTTGTTTAAATGTTCTGCTATGGAGTTTTTAGATGGTTTATGTTTTATTGTAAGTATAATTTGTGGTTTTACATCCGTTGAATTAATTTTCTGGTTTATACCATGGCTTTCTCCTTAAACTGCCTCGAGGCTACACAGCGTTTCACGAGTAGGAAGTGCCTCCTGGCCATTTATGTACTTTTTGTCTCTTCACGTATCTGGAAAAGCAAAGGTAGCACATATCAGTCGCCCATAATGATCTTCACGTCTCACAAAGATATTCTTTTCACCTTAAGCTTTGCATGTAATGTCTAGAAGATCTACTTGTTGAACTTACTGCTGTATGAAAGTCTAGAATATCAAAGTTTTAAACCAAACAACTTAATTCTGATACCCTATTCAACCATATTTTAATATCAAAGAAAGGGATTTGGTCATACTATCTGAGCTAGCATACTATCTGAGCTAAACATATGGAACACTCCCTATCTGCTTCAGTGGTTGTTTATTGCCACTTCTGTTTTACCTTCAAAATTCTTTTTACTCTTGTCTGCGATAGAATTTTGAAATGACCAAATGAGCTTGACAACTAAAAGATATTTCTTAACGAAATGGTTGGAGACTTCTTATAGCGCCTCTAAGATTGCTGTGTACCCTGAAAACCCTTATCTAAAATTCCTTGATAAATCAAGTGACATTGCAGTAGCTATATTATTAATCAATATTTTTCCTGCAAATGTGTGTTGCTAGGAAATAATGTGGCTAGTGCATAATGAGGAATATTCCAGTAGGAGTATTATACAACATTCCAAAGCATGTCCCCTCAAATCATAGAACCGGGTGAAGTTAAATGTCTATGACAGAAAGAGTTAAATGTGATAACCTGTAATTAGCAAGGATGCGATCTAGCTCATACTGGTAATTGGGATTGGTAGGTCATACCAATTCTGCTTTCTGAGTTTGCACAAATCTCTTGGTGGATAGTTTTACAGTTAAGTTGTGTGATTGGTACTTAAATTATTTATGAACTACAGCTTTTGAAGTATGATGGGGAAAATTGTTTTGGGGGAAGAACAACACTTTTTGTTAACTATAATGCCAGAAGGAATGAAACAGATTCCACGTTGATCAAAGGACTGAAGATTGGCACTTTAAGTGCCAATTATGTTAATCTAATGAAATCATATTTTTTTTACCATGAATTGGTTTTCCTTGATTGGATAATTGTAGTACTTAAAGGGAATCTGCTTTTGCTGTAAATCACCTAATTTCCTGAATAAATCAAACTGCTATTAGTGGGAAAATGTTACCAGCAATTTTCTTTGCCCATTGATGTTCCTACATTTCCTATCCGCAGTCCAAGTGAACTATAGAAAAAGTGGAAGAAAATAAGGAAGATTGAGCTTTCCAAGTCTAACCCATAATTTTTTAATAATATGGTGAGATACATTTTGCCTTTTTTCTAACGATTGAATTCATGGCCCCAAGAAATTTTTAAAAGCCATGCTTTTGCGATGAGGCTTGCATGTCTGAAGAGAGGTCATCAGGTGTATGCAAATTTTCAGTGTCATAGGCATCTGGATATGGGTCACGCTGATTATATGAGTTGCACTTTTCGTGTCTCTGTCATGAGGTAAATGCTGCATGGTTACCAATTTACATGAGCATGATTAACAACATCGTTCCCTTGTGGTTGCTTTTGGACATTTTAGGTTATAAATGTTAGAACATGTTACAAATGTCTCTTAGATCTCTAATCCCCATATTATCTCCATGGAACATAACTTTTAGGTTTTCACTTGTAATATAGTAGACTAGGTTTAGATCTGCACTTCCCCTTTTTCTTTTTGTTGAGATATTTTGAGAACAACTTTCTCATTCCAGCACGAAATGTCCTCTTAGTAGTTTGCTTCTCATAGACGCCAATACCGTTTTCGATAGGTTTCTAAGGCATCTGACCATCTCATTCCAGACCAATTTATTATCTCTGTAATATCCCGTCTTTCTGCTTTTAGAACTCCATCCGTGTATGTCGTTTGTATTTAACCTTGTTGGTTCCGCCTTCTTTTTCTACAGACTCAGATCTCTTAGGTACATTTTTTTAAAATTTTTTAATAATAATAGCATCGAGCACCATAAACTTTGATTGTCTAACAGATTGTCATGTGGAATAACCTCATGATTCTTGCACAATATCCCTATTCACCGTCACAGTGCAGATGAAATATATTTGGCTAAAGTTTTGGCCTTCTCTAAGTCATTATAAGTGAGACTTTCTTTTTTTGGGTACATGGTATTTGTTAACGCCAAAATGCAAGTGATCCCAAAGTCCAAGATAGTGTTACTAACCCATGATTTTAGTGTGAATAAATGTATTCTTTAATTATTCTACCTTCTCTCCTACTTTTTTTATCATCTTCTACGCAACTACTATCAAATTTTCTCCACGTCACATCAACTAGTTATAAGGATTTTACTGTTAATACCAATTCTATGATCTTTAACAAAAATCTTTGTCCGCCTCCTCCCATTAGAAGCCCTTGTTACTATTTAACACCTCCCTATATGTTTGTGCTTATACAGTTATTAATTCATATATCTTTCTGTTATATTAATTTCTAAAAATATGCCATGTTTGTTGGATAGTTCACTTTGTTGAGTTCTTTTCAAATAAATTTATTCTAGACGTCATTTCTCCTACATTATGATATTTCTTTCTTTTTATCATTATTAAAAGTAATCCTTGAAAGATGTATGTCTCATGCCTTCGGGTGTTGACCTTCCACAGTCGAAGGGGGAAGTGTTACCTATATCTGTTGTATGGGACTGTGGTGTTGTAGCTTTTTATTTGGCATATTCGTGATTTGTGTTCCTTTTGTTCTGTTGATTTTCTTTTAGTTGATCCAACATGTTCATTTTGGCATCACAAATTTCATCAAATTTAATAACTTGCTTGATAGCCATGCAGGCTAAAATTCATTTCTGTCTTCATCATTTTCAACTGCTTACAGTTTAATGTTTCGCTGTCCATATTTAGATTGTTTAGTAGCGAAAGGAGGGGGGCTGTGATTTTTTTCTGTTCATTTTTGTGTAAAGAAGAAATGTTACCCATGCTATTTTATTGCCAGTTTGTGATTTAGTTAAGCAAGCAGTTACTCATTGGGTAGAAGAAAAAGTACTTCTGTAAAATTTTCGCACTGGCAGAACATAGAATACCTGTTCTTTTCTTGCTGCATCTTTCATGCTTTAAAACTTAAGTTTAATTATTTCTTATTGCTTATGTACTATTGCAGTAATTATTTTGTTTTCTACTGGAAGTTTAGAACAGATAAAGTGAATAGAAAAATAAATCATATCTATTCCAGTTGTTACCGGAAAATGCTGAAGCGTAGCGTAGGCTTCTGTACCGTGCTGAATTGTTCATCTTGTATACCACTTTATTGGACTTTTAACTTTATGTGAACACTTTGTTGTTTCCTCTCCACAGGTATCGTGCCATAACTAGTGCTTATTATCGAGGAGCTGTTGGTGCTTTGCTTGTATATGATGTGACTCGACGTTCTACGTTTGAGAATGCTGTGAGATGGCTAAAAGAGTTGAGAGATCATACAGACCCTAATATAGTCGTAATGCTCATCGGCAACAAATCAGACCTACGACATCTCGTGGCCGTTTCGACTGAGGATGGTAAAGATTTAGCAGAGAGGGAGAGCCTCTACTTCATGGAAACTTCTGCATTGGAAGCAACTAATGTCGAGAATGCATTCACTGAAGTCCTTACTCAGATACACCAGATCGTGAGAAAGAAGGCTGTCGAGGCTGGTGATGAGACTGCTACTTCATCTGTTCCATCTAAAGGAGAGACAATCAATGTCAAAGACGACACTTCTACTTGGAAGAGATTAGGATGCTGTTCAAGTTAGGGAATATTTGCTCCTGCTGCATCGTGTCATTGTACATTGTCTTCACATCATCGTTTCCGTATTCTGGTTGGTTTGTTTACTGTATTTGGTTGAAATATTGATGAGTAGACTAGCCACAAAAATGTAGGACGGGGTATTTTCGTGGCAGTAACTGATGATATAGTTCGATTTGTCGACTCATAGAATGGGAAGGCAAGGTCTACTATAATATGTTCTGGACTATAACTTCGATTTTCGACAAATGTTTTCAGTAATTTGTGTTAAGGTGTCGTTATATTTCTTAAACGTACGAATTAAAAAGCACAAATCACGCTCAAATGAACCACCACTGCCACCAAATTCATAGCCTGACTGCCAGCATAGAACTGCCGCTGCCTGGTGTCACCCCGACCTTCTGACGTAAATATTGTCATGCGTTCAGGCTAGTTTTGTTATTTCGTGCATTGATTGATGAAATATTTTTCTACTTTCCATTGCATATAAAATAGTTTTCAGTCAATATGTATGATTGTAAAATTGTTCTTCTCCATGAAGCATAGATGGGCATAGGAAAGCTTAAAAATCTTTTAGGTAGGTTACAAGATTGTATTTCTTCAATATTTGAATATCATTCTAACCCAATATTAATATTTATTTTTAAGGAAAGAAAAGTCCAGAAATCAAAGAAGCTGAAACTGGTGAAGTTATGATGACAACATTTAAAAAATCTGAAGATGTAAAGGCTTCAACTGAGGATGAATATTCAAGTAAACCACCAAAAAATGATTCAACACCGGCAACGAGAGAACCTTCTCCCAGTCAGAACAAGAGATTGAGTAAATATCTACATATTAAAGATTGAAAAATGAGGGAAATTAATCACCTTTTGAAGGTAACATACAAAACTCAGTCAAATTGTAACTGACTTATATTTTTACGCTAAATATTTTGCTATTTCATCGTGTTGACAACAGTATGTCTTCAATTTGTAGATGACTTGTTCCTTATCACTAATAAGCATCCTCATCCTCGACAAGACAATTTGGACTTGGACACCAGCCCTCAAGTCATAATGGCTCAAACATGTCGACCTTCTCAACCAATCGGAATCCTAGAGAGGTACTTGGATGGTTAAGTACCAATGTCTGGTCACTGGTGAGTGTAGGTGAATGTAGACACTTTCACCTGCGTGCTATTAGAATGGGACAGGACAAGTTAGGTGGCTAGAAATCCCACTTGTAAGCAGGTAATGTGATGTGACGTTTAAAATGATAAAATAATTAGAATAAAATTGATTGCGTAGATGAATTGTATATGCCAGTTTATAGGTGTTGAGATGACAGAGTCTTATTGGCTGTTTTTTAACTTTGATTTTCGTTTAAACTTTAATTAAATGTTGTCATCTGATATTCTGCAACTCCATCTAGTAAATTTATATATACATGTAACATTGTTGAATTAATTAACGTCACATCAATGATGATTCATAAGCACGGTTTAAGGCGTTTATAAATACTAATACAAAAACTCGTAAATAATCTTTGTAAGCAGGTTCGTCTGTGACAATGAATGAATAATTATCAGCCTCACAAAGAAAAGTAAACATAACATAGGGGATTGATCGGACAAAAATTGAAAGACTTCCTACGTTTCGAGGATTTTCCATTTCTATAATTTTTAAGTCCTCAATCCTTATAAATAACACATTTTATAAAACTTTAACAACTAACCATTTTAAATACATTCCAACTCAAGAATCTCAAAGTTATGTTCCTTATAAATAAGACGTTTTAGATAAATACATACCAACTCATGAATCTCAATATTATCTCATGCCCAATAAACTTAAAACCAACTTAGTCAAAAATTTAATGTATAGAAAATTTTCAAATTAGTCCCTAAAATTTATTTTGTTTCAAATCATTCACAAAGTTTCGTAACAATTTCAATTTGATGACTTGACTAGATTACTTGAAATCCTATGTGTACTAGCGTGACTCTAATTTTAATGTCGTCTAAGCATTAATCGTCTTAAAATGCAATGACTAAATCCTAAAGTCCGATTCTCTCCCAATTGAATTATGAGGAAATTATCAAAATAGTCAACTTTTGGCTTTGTATTTACAAAAATGTCACTTTTTTTTTTTACATTGCAAGAATGTCAATTTTAGACAATTTTAGACATATTTGCCCTTAAAGCTAATTTTAAATATCCTACATGTCCTAACTAAATGAGATTTGACCAATCAAAAAAATTGTACAAAAACTGTGAAATTTCAGTGTACTAAATACATTGATGGAAATAAAAAATAAAAATCAGTGAAGAATATTCTCTCCCAATTGAATTATGAGGAAATTATCAAAATAGTCAACTTTTGGCTTTGTATTTACAAAAATGTCACTTTTTTTTTTACATTGCAAGAATGTCAATTTTAGACATATTTGCCCTTAAAGCTAATTTTAAATACCCTACATGTCCTAACTAAATGAGATTTGACCAATCAAAAAAATTGTACAAAAACTGTGAAATTTCAGTGTACTAAATACATTGATGGAAATAAAAAATAAAAATCAGTGAAGAAGGTGAAACAACCCACCCACACAAAGAGGAAGAAGAAACCATTGTTGAAACACATTCCTCTCTCTCACTCATTCTCCTTTCTCGCTGGAATCGTCCTCTCTCTCACACATTCCCTTCTTTCACCGCCGATGAAGACCAAAAGCATTTGGTGAACTCACTTCCCTCCGTCGTACGAACCGGTGAAAGGCGAGATTCCCCTGGCATTCGAATCGTCCAACGCCCAGCCGTCGACGATCGCCGTCAATCACTCCACTGTCGACGAAGACCATAACTGATATATTGAGGTTGGTGTTTTCTTTATTTTTTTGCAATTTTTTCAGAAAAAGAGGAAATGTTTCTACATTCATTGTATAGTGTTGGCCCTGGGGTAAAAATTTTATACATTTTTGGAGGGATCCATTCTAAAGAACTAATTGTGTTAAGAATGCAAAGGTTTGAAACTTTTGCACCAAGATTAAAATGCTTGCACCAAAAATATAAGACGGTCAAAGACTTGTAAACATTTGTACCAGTTTCTCTTACAAAAAATTATGTAAAATTATAATGGGTCAAATTTATATTTGTAATTCTAATAGTTATTTATTTATATAGAAAAGTACACAATTGTAATTATTCTTGCATTTAAAAAATTATATATTTGTTCCTCTTTCAAATTTTGTAGTTTTCTTTATTTTGAAGTAATTATCTTGGTTAAATTGAACATTAATGTTTTGTCAGATATGCTGCTATAAGACATGTTAGACACTTAACTGGTGCCTCATGCGCCCGTTTCTATCGTTTTATAGCATTAGATTCATTCACATTTTGGGTTTATTTCAAAGTAGTTTTCATCACTACAAGAAATTGCCAAGGCTGGTGAAGGGAAATTTAATATCTTTTGACTTTAGAATTAAGTTCTCATATATGCACTGAACCTTTACTTACATGCATTTTTTATTGGATAGATTTGATATAATGTATTTGAGTATTTGATTCCTGTGTTGTTCCTCAAGTATGTTTCTTCTCTCCCACGTTCTTACTACTTTTATGTCTTTGTTAAGAGAATTCAGCAATATGTCATTCTTTTATGATTCAATGAAGGCATAGGATTGCAGGACTAACAATTGAGCTTTTCGTGGACATTCTTGACAAATTCAAAGACTTTGCGTTTATACCGATCATCATGAGCTAGCTCAATTGGAGAATTTAGGAATTGTACCTCAGTAATCATGCTACATTATTAGGTCATCCATTTCACAAATTGTTTTATCTGCATGATTTTCTCATTTCCCGTAACGGCTTAGACTTTTATAAATCTTTATTGATTCAAGTATAGAAATCTGATCTGACCTGAGGTTTATGCTTTAATTGGTTAAGTTAGATTCTGTATTCTTTCTTATTGATCTAATTTTGATCAGGATTGGGGACATGTTTATTATTGTTCATAGGTTATATTTGAGATTTTGGAGTCAAATCTTGGCAAAAATTCTCTTATTTGCAAGTGCAAATGTCTTAGTATTATCTTTTATTATCATTTAGATGTTGTTGTGGTTTTGGGTACATGATTCATCTCTAAATTAGATGAAGGTAATAGAGATGCACGTGATATAGGTCTAACTATTTCATAATTGTTACATTATGCTGGATCTTCAAATTGTTGCCACGGTTGGTTGAATACATGTTGCCTCAACTCTACACAAGTGCACATGATTCGATTTGGTTTTCTCTCATATCATTTATTTATTAAGTCTGGTCCACGGGGAAGATAAATGTTGTAGGTGGTTGTCGTGAATACTTTTCTGCTATTTCAGCTCTAAAAATTGTGAGTTATCCTCGCCTGTCCTACTTCACATATTCATGATTACCCATCAAATTATAGCAAAACAGACATAAAAATGATTGAAACATGCCAAGAAAGACAATTATACCAGTCCAGACATAAATATCCATTTAGGTATTTATTATTGCACCGACTTTCTAGAAACATGGTTTCTTTTAAGTTAATTGATCATTTATAGAAGCTCCTGAATATTTCTATTTGCATGTACACTTATCGCATTTGATTTACTGTGTGTACCATCAATTGCTACCGCCAAGCGTACTGATCCAAAGGCACATTCCTTGATATAAAGAACTTGAAATAAATTTCCTCTTTTAAGGTTTTTTCTTCTTGTTTCAGTTAGTCCATAAACATGTCTCCTCAAGAACCTCTTCGGCATTATTACGTGATTTAATTGTGGCCTATCGCTCTGCCTCTCTAATATAGTAATAAATCATCTATAACGAAATTCACACGAGTCCACATAAAGTTTTGAAATAGATCGATAATGAGGATGTCAACAACAAATTCGAAAAGATTGAAGTTTTAAACTCAGTAACCAAAAAGCTAACACTACCTTGATCCAAACTATTAACATTGGGTTTGATGATGCATCAAGTTTTGAAAGAACTTTGTCTACAGCCACTATCTATTGTAGGATTGAAACAAAGTCAGGTTATTATATTTTTCTATTAGGAGTATCTGATGTTTCCTTGGAAGAATCTTTCATCATTTTTTTGTAGGATTTTGCATTTATTTTTTCTTATTCTCCTTTTAAACTCGTTTTTGTTATGGTCATTCAAATAAATATTGGATTTTGTTGTGTTGTGTTGCAAAAGAGATCTATCCTGTCATGAAGCAAGGTCAAATTGGGGAACATTTAAATCTATTGCTAGTGTTGTTTGTTCTTGCTTGTCACAGATTGGTGATGCTCATCTCGTTTTCCAAATGCTGGAAAAAATAATTGTTGATCAGATTGTAAGTTTTTTTTTTTCCAAATACTTGGATTCAAAAGAGGTAAGAATCCTTTCTAATATTTTGTAATTTTTTTTGGATGTTTTTAATAATTTTTTGCTGTGTTATGGTTGAAACTTTTTTTTTAAAAGGTACCCTATTCCGTTACTTCTTGCATCAAATTTCCATTTCATCTCTAGAATTCTTTTTGTTTGATAAAAGAAAAAGAAAAGCCACGGGTGGTTGTCGACTCCTTTCGCCTGCGATGACAGGCTTCATTTCCGATCTTCCATTATTCTTCTCGTCAGTCCCTCATTTCGAGTTTCCTTTAAAGGTTTGAGACAATGATTTGAACCTTCTTCTATTAAACAAAACACATTTTATCCATTAGAAACTATGCCTTTCCCAACAGCCTCCTCCCGAAAAGTTTTTATCTTTTTATTATGTTTTCTACCCTGCACATAAGAAGTATGAACCATGAATTGAATGGTTACTACAGTGTTTAAGTTGTTATATGTGTCACTTAATGTATGAGAAATAACGTCGTTTTTACTTGCAAGTCCATATATTGTGGTGGTATTCGTTGTATTTGGGTGAAAATCTTGATAGACACTTGATAGCATACCTGTAGTTTTAATGTTTCGCTCTGCTCGAATATGGAGTGAAGTAGCTATTGAATAATAGGTCAAGAGTAGATTTTTCGATAGTTCATTTGTCGAAAGTTCACTACTATAGAGAAATGTCATCGCGTTGAACTGTCGTTCTCGACAGTTAGTTTCAGTAATTCTCGATAAATGAACTTGTCGACAAATGAACTGTCGGGAATCTTCCTTTCCTCAGCTTAGTTTCGCAAGTGGAACTTTGGTTCAGCCGAACATTGCACGCATGTTTCGCATTAACATGTATGAATGTTATGATATGGGCAATTTTTTGCTTGATTTGTCCATATGTGGTTTTTTTTTTCATCCAGACGTCGACGTGTGTTTGAAATATTTTGGTCTAACGTAATCATTTTTGTTTCATCACAGGAGACATGGATTTCGAGCCTCTTGTTTTGGAGAATGCACTGTTGTGGGCCCACATTTCCTAAAAGTGTTGGTGCGTACATTATGGAAATAATGGGAGGTGGAAACAATCAATTGCGTTGTCAAAGAAAGAGCAACATTCACAATGGTGCATTCAGGATTACATTACAACGATAGATAGTGACTGTGACAGTTGGATGAAAGAACATTTTGTTTTCCTTTAATGTATAATATTTTGCATTCGTTGGTGAAATTTATGTGACATTGACGGATGAAATTTTTGTGATTTTTAGCGGAAAATGTTTATACTAAAGAGTAGTAGATTGTTTTTAATGTGTATTAAAGTCATGAAAACCATGGTACAACTAATTTACAAATGAGTTAATGTCTATTCCAATATTTTTTTCTTGATGTGGGTAAAGATGATGAGTCATTGAAGTGGAAAAGTGTAGCATTACAACCATGCTTCCAATAAATTGCATATGAGAAGATGTGATTTGCAGGAAACTATAAGAAGTCATCGTACACATGATTTAAGAGTCACAATGTCCTAGTATTTATGAAAAAATGGGGGATTAATGTCTGCAAGTTGATATTTATTGAACCATCACATCAATTGATTTTCAAATTTACTTAGAGATTGGACTTAGTGGTTGGGTAGTGAATGGCCCTAATTGCTTCCTCCCTTGGAGTTGGTTATAAATAGCATTGAGAGATATGTTAGTTACACACAAGTTACTTCATGAGCATTGTCCTGGACACGGGCGTAGAGTTGGGGGGGCTAAATGTACTCTTCAGGTTTGAATTTTGGTAATAGGCATCCTGTTTTTAAATATATTAGCTCATCATATTGTACGTTTTGGGGCAAACCGATCAATTGTTGCTTTTTGAAAATAATACAATACACTCTCGCATCTCTAATATTCGTATGCATAATTGAGTCAAAGTGCCTAATTGTCCTCTTTATTTTGTAGTAATATTGGGGAACATATACGGTGTTTCATGGGGAGTAATGAAAGATGTCGTACACAGTGGAATGATAGCAGTTTTCGAATGATGTGGATGATTTTTTATTTTTTTTTGCAACAAGAGAATAGTTGGAGTGCTTCAAGTTGAGTTATAACAAATTATTTTAGGTACTTTTTTCTTGTCCTTATTACTCGTGGCAGTTATGTACCTTTGTTGTTATTTGTCGCGTTGTTTATTCACTATTACCATGGTTATGTGACATTTGCAGTCATATGTCGAGAATGACAAAAGACAACTGGCGGGACCGACAGGTGAACTTGCGGGATGTTCTGCCGGTCATCAACATGATGATCCTAATGTTTATGCAAATCCAAAGATCAATAATGACTGCAAGCAATAATGAGAATCAAAAGTGTACTATAATAGACTTCAATGTACAACGCAGTAGGGGAACAATTGTTGGCTATAATTTGTATCTCTCTCCATTTAAACACTTGGTAGGCCAGTTTCCAATGTCGTAATGCAGAGAGCAGTTTCCTTATGAACTGATATGTACCAATTTACGTCTTCATCTTCAAGTATTTCGGTCGGCGGTATATTCATGTTGGGAACTTTGAATTTCAATTCCATTTTTGTGAGCGGATCGAGAACACCAAGTTTGTCATTCAACCGTAACAATAGCCCGGGTAGTGTAATACTGCTCAGCACTAAAATGGAAGTGGTTTTGTCCCCAGTCCACTTCCATTCGTCATTCACGTGAAAGAACTTTCCCCCATGCGACACGATGAATCTCAAATTATTGTTCATACCTGAAATGTTGGGATTGCAACGATAAGAATTATGCGCAATCAATATGTCGATTATATAATAGCATGAAAGTGACACGTTCGAATATTTAAACTTATGCAATAGTACAAGGTCAAGTGAAGGGTGTTAAGAGTTTTCAGCTGTCCAATTTGACAGTTTAGTTATCTATCCCGACAGTTTATAAATGTCGGATTCGACAGTTAACATGTCGATCCCGACAGTTTTGAAATGTCGAGTTGGACAGTTCAACTGTCGGAACTGTCGAGAAGTTTCAAATGTGTTTGGTAGCATTAATGGTTATAATCATTTCTCAACTACAACATCACAACCTTTTTTAGAAATAAATGACTGAATGCTTCATTAAATATGGAATACTTCACATTTCCCTAAATATTTTTGGTATGTTTTTCCTTCAAAATATTTAAAAAAAATAAAACCATGATGATTAATAGTAGTGATTATCATATTGTTTTTAACATTTTAAAAATAGTAAGTTATTACATAAAAATATAAACAATTCGTAATAACTGACCTTTCAAAATAGACGAAGAAGATGGATGAAGTAATGTCTTCTTGATCAAAAAGAAAATGGATGAAAAAAGTGAAAGAAATAAGGGTTTGTTTAGCAAGAAATTTATTTTTTTATATTAACTAGGGTTTTTAAGGATTTTATATTCATTTTTTATTAATTAAATTCGTATTTTACAAAATAATATTCATATATTCAATGATTATAATATACAAATTAAACAATCAAATTACAATATTAATTGTTTTGAAAAATAATCATGAAGGAGCATTAAATGCTCCAAAAATGTCAAATTAAGAGTAATTTAGACATTTCACAACAAGAAAGTGACATTTTTGTACAAATTGTGTGCATATCAAAGTTTTTTGTGCATTTTCAAAAAAAAATGACATTTTTGTAAATTCTCCTTGAATTATATTTAGGCCTATTTAATATCAAAATTTTCAATAAACATTAAATCAATTCAGAAAAAGGGCTTTGTCGCTTCGTATCCTAATCTTAGGAGTGACATTCCTATACTTCGGAGTGAGTTTAACATGGTAGGATTTCACGTTAATCTTATTATTATGGAATCCTGTCTTTGTCCTTTTTCTTTGAGTGGGTTGGGGTATTTTTACCGAGCTTGACCGTTAATATATATATATATATATATATATATATATAGGTGGAACGGGGTGGGGTCCAGTCCATTCATCAGAGTTGACTTGTCAACTACGTCTACGTGCAATGATTGGAATAAAAAATTAAAAATTGGGCAATCCCAAGCAAATCTCTTAAATTTGTGCAGGAATTACGTTATCATTTATTTAATTATTAGCCAATAATACGATTCCAATGATATGCACTGGTTAATTTTGTATTGGAGACCACCCAACTTTGAGTGAATTCTCAACTGGATCACCCCACTTTAAAAAGTTTCAATCAAGTCACCAAACTTTAATTTTTAACTTCAAATCCGGCCACTCGTAGATGTTAAAACTATACAGAATGCCAAATAGTACCTATGTGAACTATGAAAATGCCATGTCAATATACCATTGTCCACGTGGGTCCTATGTGGAATTCAGTTGTTCTTTTTTATTTTTTTCAAATGAGACCACATAGGCATATTCATGAATTGCGTTATTATTCGCATCTAACTAAGTGACTGAATTTGAAATAAAATTTAAGTTTAGGGTCTTGATTGAGACTTCTTTAAAGTTGGATAACCTCCAATAAATTTTACCTGCCCATCGCATTGTATCGTAATCAATATTCTAACCTAATATATATTTCGTCCTTGTCTAACCAAAACATGCTTTGTGAGTTCCTCTTGGAAAACTCTCCAATACTAGTCTTAATTCAGCAAAGCTTCATAGATAAATTTTCATGGAAGCTGAAGAAATTCTCCAGCTCTTGGATTCTTACTGGTTTCAACATGGATTTTTTACTCACAAACATGAAGATCAAGAATCAATGGTTTGTGCCGTGCCAAAACCGAGTCTTTTAGAAGTTTCCGTGCAACATAGGCCGACCCTTCAAGTTCGATCCTATAGCGACCGAGGTACAGTTCACGATGGAAGTTTCGGTCAAGAAACAGCAACTTCACCTAATTTAGTCATGCTCAAACCAAAGTTGCAGAAGATATTCTCTGGTAAAGAAATAACTCAATCCATAAATGACGAGGCTGATGAGGAGAAACCGAAACACCCCAAAGGAAAAATGAGGCCGAGACTAAAAGGTATGAGCAAAAGCTTATCAGAACTTGAAGTTAAGGAGCTAAAAGGGTTCATGGACTTGGGATTTGTGTTTACTGAAGAAGATAAGAGATCAAGTAGCTTAGTTTCAATCATTCCTGGACTTCAACGTTGGGGGGAAATAGACGTGAACGAAAATAATTGGGAAAAAGTTTCAAGGCCTTATCTTTCTGAATCTTGGGGTGTTTTGTACCAAAGAAGGGCATATAATCCTTCGATGAAATGGAAAACTGCTGCTTCTGTATGTGATGAAATCAACATGAAAGACCAACTCAGAGTTTGGGCTCAATATGTTGCATCAACTGTTAGATGGAGTTGACATCTCGTCCTCCGGTACAATTTTGACATTTTACCATGGTTTAGCAAGTAGTGAGACGTCGTTTAAAAGTTGACGTAACTCATAGAGTATTGAATGGTGACTTGCTATTTACCAACTCAAATTTGATATAGTGAGGTATCAAACTTTTAGTGAGAACCTAGTTGGATAACACCAGAAATACTTGGTTCTCTGTAATTTTGTTTTGCTTTTCAGATGATAACAATAGCATATGTAGATGATGTTAAGTACACAAATTCTGACCAGTTTCTGATTAGTTTTGAAGTCATTGGCAATACTGAAAATGGTATAAAACAAGTTGACGTTTGTCGTTTTGTTATAGTAGCAGCCCCCGGTGCAAGTCAAGAGTTCAAGGTTTTGTATTCATGTGAATTATTGTGTTATCTTCGATGGGACACAATACATGTATATCCCAAGCATGCATAAATTTTGAAGCCGATGGGGAAAAGAGGTTAAACTAAATCAACTCAACGAAAAAAGTAATAAAGTGAAGTAAATAAATTTTCTTGCAACACACAGTAATGCAACTATCCAAAAATTTGAGCTCAAAACTAAAAGATGATAGTTTACAAAATGCATAAATCTCAAACATGTCTAGTACTGAATTCAAACTAATTAATGTTGGATGACTTATTCAGGATAACTCCTTCATATTTAACCTGGAACCACTTCATAGCATCCTCTTTAGTGACCCTGTGCTGGATTCCAACACGAGACTTGCATCTTCGACGACGGCCCACACGATAACCCGGGCGTTCCAAAACAACATAGAAATCCATACCATAAATTCCAGTTGATGGGTCATACCTGGAAAATTCGTAGATAACAGTAACATGTTTAATACGCTTTGTTTCAACAAAAACACAATTATAACATGAACTTCGCAACTTGGACCTATAAAATAAAGTAATGCTATTTCCAGTCACTCACTACGGTAATTGCCCTACGTGACATCCTACATGACAATTTGTAATTTGACATATTAATGTGATAGTTTTTTCTTGCCACATATATCAAATCACTAATCGTCATATGCGTGCCACGTACAGCGACTGTGATATTGAATGACTGCAAATAACATTATTCTAGAATATATGGCATCAACCTACTGCATTTCAAGTTTAAAATAAAGCCAAATCTCAATCTTAACCGGGAGAAACTAACGGTTACAAGTTATTCGCAATATTTTCTTCATGAATGATTTGTTTTCTTTTTTCCTTTTTTTATCAAACTACCACAATGATCGAGTATTTATTAATGCTAAAATGTTTATGAGTACAAATTAGGAGAGGTGCCTCGCCTATCCTCTAGCTCTTGAAACTAACCTAATAAAATTTACCTAATCAAAAAGACGAGGTGGAAAAGAAAAAACAATGAAAGAGACTTCAAGGCCCATGTGCTAGAGACATCCAACCCTATCCTATTAGTCATCTTGTGGTGAGGTGCAAACTTTACAGGTCGTACCTTGCTGGTGGGACGGGTACGAGGACAAAGACGGGACAAAAGAATATATTATGCACCAAAACAAGATTTCAACCTGTTCCAAGACCATTTGCCCACAGTAAAATATTCACAAGTCACCAAACTTCACACCTAATGGTTTGCATGAAGGTCATGTGACATCCGTAACATTCTGATCCAACAAAAGATCAGGTAACACAAATATCTTCTAAAGAAACATAAAACTCCCGAATAAAGCAAAAATTAGTTGGGTATCTCACTATCAATGATAGATACAATTTACAGGATGCACATAAAAACACAACTATTACCAACTCTCCATCTGAAATTTTAAGACAATTTTAGATACATCATAAAACAACCTTGGAAACGCGAAAAAAATAACAATATCATAGAATTGACTCACTTGATTCCAAGATCAATGTGCTCCTGAATGCCAAAGCCAAAACATCCAGTGTCGCTGAAATTCCTTCTCAACAACTCATATTCCTTGACCTTCAAGCCACTCTCAAGAAGCTGCATTGCTTTGTCACCCCTGACCGTAACGTAGCATGCAATCTTTTCGTTACGCCTGATCCCGAAGGACCTCACAGTGTATCTTGCTGTGGAGCAAATCAAATAATTCCATAGACGAAATACAGGAGGAGAAAGAAAAACTAGGTTCATTTCATATTTATATTCTAAAAGATTATATTGTACATAGCAAAGGCATAAACCACAGCACCATCCTCAGATTATCAATAGTCAGTTGATCAAAATTTTCAAGATGAAATAAATACAGCAAACGTCTTTTTGCATATATGCACTTTGAAAGAATAAATAAAACAGAGTTTCAGACAAACATGCTTTCATATCTAGTTACCATCTCGCCGAAGTATAGCTCTCAGTAGAAAAAGAGTTGACCAAAGTAACTCTTCACAATTGAGAAAACTAATAGTCAGAGTTCATTTGAGAGCTACCATTAAGGAAAACTTACGAAGTTACAATATCATAGTCTATCATCTAGCAGAGCAGTACTTTAATAGTTACTAATATGACGATTCACGTATCATTTTCACAACATGGTAATCGAGAATAGTACTTCATAGACAGTAAAGCTACAAACTGCATCATTTTAAAGCAAATTTTCAAATAATTATACCCATTTACAATAAAAGAGTGCTAAATTATTCCAAATTAAGCCAGATCCAAAACATTTGAGGAGTCAGATTTCATTTTTGGAGCTACCATTAAAGAAAATTTAAGAAGTTACAATGTCACAATCTATCGTCAAGGCATTATGTGAGAGCAGTATTTTATAAATTACTAATATAAACCACCCCCATATGACTCACACAATATGGTAAGCAAGAATAGTACCTTGAAAACCTTGTACTACAAATAATAGAACCCCTACAAAATAGCTTCAGATTTTGAAAAACTTACCCTTAGAGAAAACAGGAGATTGGCTACTGAGTTGCTCTAAGACCTGAAAAAAAAAAAAAAAAAAAAAAAACATGTAACGGAATTCAAATTCGAAAGTACTCAATAAAATCAAAATTGTATCAGGGATAAAATTATACCTTAGCGGCTCTGGTAAGACGATCTCCACTCTCACCAACGGAGATGTTGAGGACGAGCTTCTGTACTTTAATCTCTCTCATTGGGTTCGAAAGCTTCTTCTCTGACGCCTGTTTCACACATTTACACAGAGATAATCAGTGATGCGCTGAGATTCATATATCTATCTCTAAGGCAATACAGAAAGAGAATGAAAGCAGAGAGAGAAAGACCATGGTGGTGCAGTGGTGGTGAGAATGTTCACGGCTGCCAGACGAGTGGAGTGGGGAAAATGATGAAGTGAAATACAAGGATGAGGGGAGGCGAGGGGAGTGGAAGCTAGGTTTTCTTATGTGTTTTGCTTAGATGTTCAAATGTCAATTAGGGGTTGTTAATGGGCCAACTGGCTCTGCCCATTAATAGAGTCTAATCAGAGCTAGCCCTTTTAAAGATCCGGCCTGTAGGCCCTATAAAATATAGTGAAAATTACACAAAACCCTACATTAAAAATCCACATTTCTAAAAGCAAACCAATGTTTTAACATTTCAAAAATCAGAATTCTTTCAATCTATTAATATTCCAAACCCTAATCTGATTTGAATTTCACTTTCTCTCTTTTCGTGTCCATGTCTTCTCTCTCAAAATCGTCGATGATGGAGGATGGAAGAGCTGCTTCTCTCTCTTCGTTTCCCCTATCTTCTCTCTCAAAACCGTCGACGATGTTGCTGCAAACGGTAGCATCGCGACAATGCTGTTCGTCAACGCTATCATTCGCAGTAGCGTCGCAATCTCTACTGCAGCATCTCTGTGTGTGTGGGTGTGGTGTGTGTGCGACGGTGGTGGCATGAGGTGCGGTGGTTGTTGTAGTTGATTTTTTATTTTTTTTGTTTGTTGGATGCAGTGGAGGTGGCGGCGCGTGATGGATAGTGATGGTGGTTTTGGATCTATTTTGCGGTGGTGTCGTCAAGATCTGGGATCTGTTGCAGCGAAGAAATCGAAGGTGATTTGGGTGATGAAATCGGATTGGGCGGTTGCGACGGTGGCTATGTGTATGGTTTTGATGATGTTTGGGTGGTGTGGTTGTGATGTTGGTAGCAATGGTGGAGATGGTGGTGGTGGCGACAAATCTCGGCGGATTTGGTGTTTATGTGGTGGCGATGGTCGAGGTGGGATGGGATTGAATGCTTGTGACCAATTATTTGGTTGATTGTGATTAATAATTGAATGTGTGACCTGAAAATTGTGACTATGACCCCTAATTGTGACTCGCAATTGACTATGGCGTGATCAAAAAATTAATCGTGACGTAAAAATTGTGACTGTGACTTCCGATTGTGACTAAATATTGACTAAATTGTGATCGAAAAATTAATTATAACCAATTAATCCAATAGTGTGTAATGATTAAATGAATTGTAATTAATAAAAATTTTGAATTTGTAACCTATAAATTTTTTGAATTTGTGATCGAAAAATATTTTGTGGCCTATAAAATTTTTGATTTGTGACTAAAAATTAATCCGTGACCAATTTATTAGATAACTGTGACAAAAAATTGTGACATAAATATATTTAATTAATAAAATATATATTTAACAAATTAATTTATAAATAAATTTTAAAAAATCTGATTTTTGAAACTTCTAACCATTTTTCTTAATTTTAAAAAGGGGTATACTTACCCTCTTAGAAATGAATTTTTCCCTAAAATATATGGACCATATGGTCGCTGTGGTAGTCTGCGTGCCCTGTAAAATTTCTTTCCAACAAAACAGATCTTTTGATTTTTAGAAAAATTCTACGTGTACATGCTATTTTACATACTAGTTTACAAAATGTTAGCTGGCAAAATTTCATTGGGATTTTAGACAATAATAAAAAATTAAAAATTAAATATGTTATCTCTGTACCTGTAATTTCATCTGTACAAAAAATATGTAGCATTTTTGTTATTTTTCATGGGGATGGCCCTATTTTCATGGGGTCGCCCGACCCGACCTACACATCAGCCCCAGTTAGGTACATTGATGTCTCATGCTAGGGACGATCCAACCCTTGGCCATATAAATGTTAGTCCACGACTTGGCTTGGATCGAGTTTTTACAAATCAGGCCATCTTGAGGCTCGATCCCATTGACACCTTTGCGGTCGATTGTCATCACTTATGGGAGGTTTTTATCTTTCAAAAGTTATGTTTTTTTGTTTTCAATGTGTATGTTGTTGCCTACATCAGTGAAAGCACGAAACAATCTTCCCAAACTCATCACAAAATTGTGCAACAAGGGTCAAAATTTTAGGGGGTGTTCTCTTTGTGTTTCAATTTTGTGTTTTGAGTTTTGTGTTTTGAGTATTTGTTTTGAAATTGTTGAAAATGCGTTCTTTTTTTTAGTTTCTCAAAACAAAACAAAAATAATTTTTTTTTTTTAAATTTTGAGAATCACCACGACACCACCTCAAAAATAAATAAATAAATAAATAATAAAATTTTAATTTTTGATTTTTTTTGAAATTTTGAGAATCATCATACCACCTCCTAAAAAAAAAAAGGAGGGGTGTTTCCCGCGTTTTCAATTTTTTCAAGTTTTACACTGAAAATGTCCAAAACGACAAAAAAGTCGTTTTGTATTTTCTTCGCAAATTTTTTTTTCGTTTTCGAAAACGGGAAAGAGAACACATTTTCACCATTTTGAAAAATCGAAAACAAAAAATAGCCCGAAAACGATAAAGAGAACAGGGCCTTAGAAATTGCAACACAGTTTCTTGCATTCATCCATCACTTTGTCCGTCATTTTAAAAGGTAATGAACTTAATGACACGACAGTTGAAATGACAAATGAGATGACATTTGGATTAGTTCACCAAATTTGTCAACTTTTAAAATGGCAAATGACGCAATGACGAACTATGTTCAGTAACTACTTAGATAACTTTTTTAGTTCAATGACAACTCGATAACATTTTAAACGTTCAAATAACAATTAGAAAACATTTGAAAAAGTTTAGTGACAACGACCTATGTGGGATTACTGCAGTTAATATAAGGAACTAAAAAAGATTAAATTTGATTTGACTTTCAGTATGTAACATATCAGCACAAACATAGCAATAACACAAGTGAAGACTAGCTAAACACGAATAATATGATCGATTGAACAACGACATTTGACTACAATTTACAAAAGCAACTAAAATTTGTTTAGCTAAGACTACAATGTCGACAGATTCCACCCTATAGCCACCACGCAAATATCATTTCGAGGCGACAAAAACCAGTGCACCTGGTCAAAATACCGCACGATATTAGTTAGAGGGCTTTCCTTCTGCTACAAGTCCATGAACAAATAATGTCGCACCGATATAATCATGTCCCTGCAGGATGGGGAAGTTCAGCCCAGCTTGCCTTCGTACATGCTCGGGTATCAGCCGGTTTATCAACTCAGGCGATGCTCCAGCCAACTGCAACAAAGAGAATTTGGTGTTAAAATAACAGAAATGCATGCGAGAGCCGGTTTCAGTGTTTGTCCAGGATGCATCACAAGTTCATCTGCAAATAAATAACAATGCCTTGGCAAAAGCAGTCTTTGTCCAGGAAGCACAAGTTGATACAAAATATGGTAAACATGATATAAAATTTAGATATACTTGCCAAAAATTGGGAATACAAGTGACTCGATAATTGTGGCCAAACTTCTGTGATTATCTAATTGCTAGTAGTTAGAAATTTAAAATTGAATGAATAGATTCAAATTTCAAATCATAGTCGTAAATGGCAAACGAAGTTTTAACAGACAGCACAATTTCTAACCTTGTGTTTACCATCTTAGAAACAGAGATATTATCATGTTCAAGATACTTCAGAATTAAGGAAAGAGAAACAAAATAAAACAACAGGTATTTTCATAAAAAAACCTCAAGTTATATATATATATATATATATATATATATATATATATATATAAAATGATATCCAATGTGGAGAAAATAATGGGTAGCATCTATTTATTGTGCCAATGTTGACTCATATAGCCTTATCATTTAAATCCTGGGTTTGATTTTAAAACAAACTTTGGAGAGGACCAACTTGCCCATTCGTGTAAACTCTGATGTAAGCAAAACACTTCAATATTGTACAGAGATGGAAAATCGACTGGGAGACAAGCATTCAAGAGCACAGTTAGGGGAAGAAGGGAGGGCACAGCCATTTAAATTATACCTCAAGTAACAAAAGGGAACGTGAAGTAAAGAAAGAATCATACTTCCTGTTTAAAGTTGAAAAGTGGAGGGAAAGGGCGACCATTTGGTAGGCGGGCATTAGGTTCTCGAAGCTCATTAAAGAAAGGATGGGCACATGCTTCTAGCTGCAGAGAACAAAACAGCAATTTCAATAAAATTACTCATTGCTAATAAAACATTTGTTGTCGCAATGGCCAGAGAATTTCGAAAGTCTATTGAGCCTACAACTACAAACTTCATTAGAAATTTATAACATAATTGAGGAAAAAATAAAAAATTTTAGGAAAAAGAAGGGGGGTTTTGAATTTATTAACATTCTTAGGGCTTGTTTGAGCCGCATTATTTTTAAAAAAATATATTCTTCAACAGTGATGACGTCATTTCAACCACACATTCTTCAATAAAATAATATTACATGCAAATTTAAAACTTTTCCTTATTTTTTAACCACACATTTCTCATTGATTTGACATGAATAATGCATTTTTTCTAGAATGTGGCTCAAACATGGACTTAATAATTCTATTTTCCTCTTCTATTTCCAATTTATTTATTTTTATAAAAATATTTGTATTTACCTAATTTTCGAATGCATTGCACCTGCCTTGTTAACAGCAAAGTGGACGGTTTTTGTTTAATGGGGACTAATTAGCTACAACACGAGGAAGGAGATGCCAAATAAAAAGGTCGAGGACGAAGTTGTAACTGTATAGATTAGGGACAGATGGTGCAATTTCCATTTTGTAAAAGAAAAGTAAATCAAACTCACCGCTGTGCAGCGAAGACTTGGTGAATACTGAAGAAGTCGTGAAGCGAGATCAATTGCTTCAGGAGGCATACGCTTGTGGAAAACCTGACCAAAGAGCTTATTATATGCTTCTGAACTGGAACTGTATTGTATTTTACAGATGACTGAAAAAACAACATTTTGTGGGTGGAAAATAACTGGCATACCTTATGCCATGGATGAGCTTTAATCTGAGGAAACCTAAAATCAGTATAATTTGGATTCATACACCGAATTTCTTCTCGAGTTGGAGTACCAAGAACCTATATTAATAAGACTTCAAATTATTTAATTATTGTTTCATTACTGGTTTCCTTGACCCATAAAAATGTAGAGTAACTTGAAGGATGCACCTTGATAATTTCTACAAGTTGGTCAACGGCATTTTCTCCAGGAAACAGTGGCTGCAGAAAATTATGCGGCTTAAGAAATTGAAGAATACCATTCTGCAAATTTCATGAATGTATGAGAATGTCCCAAACCTGTCCTAACAGAAGCTCAGCAAGGACACAACCAGCTGACCAAATATCAATTGTCATTGTATATTCTGTTGCACCAAATATGAGTTCTGGGGCCCGGTAGTAACGCGAGCAAATGTATGATATATTTGCTTCACCCTTCACCTGATTAAAATAATTATACATGAATTAATGAATATGCACAGAGCATCAAACAATCAGCTTAAATAACACCACCAGATAAGGAAATAAGAAAGAATTAGTAACAAGCAATAAGCATACCAGAACTTTAGCACTGCCTAAGTCACAAATCTTGACCTGGTGTGTAAGAGGATCAACCTGCAGACAAACAAGTAGTGATTTACAAGAACCTACCCAACAGTTCAATTCAATCCAGCAGGGCATACGGGATAGGGAGGTGCCAGATAAAGGTGGTGTTGAAATGACTCACCAAAATATTCTGAGGTTTTATATCTCTATGACATACCCTTGCAACTGTGTGCATATAAGCAAGCCCTTTAAATAACTGATAAAGATGTGTAATTTTACAAGAGTTAGAGATTATACAATGTAGAGAAGTTACAAAGTAAAGACAAAGCCGAAAAGAATAGAACCTGATAGGTGTAGAGTTTGATGTAGATGAGCGGCATACTTTGATTCGAATCGATATAATGCTTTAAGACCTTGTACATTGTCTCAGGGACATAATCCATGACCAAATTAAGGAAAAGCTCATCTCTGGTTGTAGTAGAAAAGAAACAATGCTTCAAAGTTATCACGTTTGGATGATCCATCAAACGCATTAACTGCAGCTCACGATTTTTGTAACGCTTATCTTGCAAAACTTTCTTTATGGCCACAGCTTCTCCAGTTTCCAAGCACTTTGCCTAGCATATAGTGACAGCAAGTCATTAATTTTAAAATCTATTGTGAATCACAAAAATTACCAATAAGTCATAATACACACCTGGAAAACTATTCCAAATGAACCCGTACCCACGACACGCTCTGCCATGTAACTAATGGTCTGCAAGAGAACATCACAAACAAACCCTTTAAAGCAGATAGCCCAGAGAAGGAATCAATTATTCGTATTCTCAAATCTCAGGATTAAAAAGGAACTAAATCTCCATGATTTTCATCTCGATAATATCTTTAAGGAACTAACTAAGATTTTCAAACCCTGCAACTAAAGTTACTAAAATTGAAATGATGAAGTCCAGTCACTAACCCTTTTGGGCTCGCCATTTTTGCCTCCTATTGTAGTGGAAATAATGTGACCACTAACTGGACCATTACTATCAACTAGAGAATCCGGCATATCCTGAAATAAATTCAAGCCACGGCATCAATGATAAAACAAAATGATCCCACTAACACAACTGGCAACTACAGCCTCGTTCAAGTAAACCATATTAATCAGAGAATCATCCACCAAATATTCATAACGTGCCTTCAGAAATTTGAAATTTTGGGCAACCCAAAAAGCACAAGAATCGAAGATATGCTATTCTTAGAAAAATACGGCAATGTTAGACACAAAATATTGCTTTGAAGAAAGCATCACATGGAAGAAAACTTGTAATCCAAACAAAGACAGCACTGCAATTATAAGGAGAATCAACCATCAAGAGACTGCATGAAGCAATCCCTCCATTCAACATAGAAAGAGCACAATTTAACTAAAGTTAAAGAAAAACAGCTGAAACTTTACATTAGAAAAGTAAACAAGTTCAAAGAACAAATAAGAATATCAAAACTTATGTAAGAGACAACAGAGCTCACAGTAGCAGCATGCAAAGAATATTCATAAATGCATAAGGCTTCCCTGTAACTATAACACATAACACAACAACAAAATATAATAAATCTGAAAAAAGAAGAAAGGGGACAAAATACGAATATATAAAATTTAAAGAAAGATAACAGGTCGAAAGTATATTCCTCGGTGCATTAAGAAAGAACCCGGAAAATAAGGTAAAAATGAATATACAATAATAATAGTAACAAACTTAGATCGAGCAAAAACTGTAACTTTTAAGCTAGATCAAGTAAAATAAGAGAAATCCAGACCAAGTTTCATTAATAAACACAGAATGCAGAAGGAAAAGGAAAAGAAATCTGTAGAGAGAACAATAGTATGGGTACCTTCTCAGTTTCCATGGTAGCAGAGCGTTTCACGGCGGCGGCTGGTGGTAGAGTTGAAGCTTGGTCAAGAGCATAATTAGGACCGCAATGATGATATTGATAGTCGGGTAGTGGATTTTGATGATGCTGCACCGGGCCCACCAGCAAGGAAGCCATGTGATCTACATCTCCTCTCTGTTTCATTTATAATAATTTTCTAATATTTATAGTCGTAAATATCAAACCACCAAGGTTAATTTTTGATTAATTATATCCAGAATAATGCTAATGGCATGTAAGGAGTTTAATAATTTACATATAAATGAAGTGTAAAAAATAAAGTGAAGAAGTTCTTTTTTTATTTGATTGAAGAAATTTTAATTCAATTATATTTTAATTTTGTATGTATAAATTATTATGTACATGTATCACAATTATATTTATTCGTGCTCGTTACCGTCTTTTTCTCATGATAATAGTCACTCAAAATTTTAATAATTATATAAACAATTATTTAGACCAAAAAAATTAAAATTAAATTTTTTTTGGCACCATTAAGTACTGAAATGTCACTAAATAGTTTTATTTATTATGCAAATTCAGCTAAATCATTGTTGAAAAGGCATAAATTTACATACGATTTAATGTCAATGTTCGGATTGATCCAATCTTTTTAGATGAGAAGTAGTTCACCCTCGCTCCATTGTGACACAGGAATCGATACTAAACTTCAATTTTCTCAATGAAATTGTTGATTGAAGACGACCTTACCACACCTTCGATGCTTTATTCTCTTTTTCCCAAACCTTTTAAAGTGTTATCCGTTTAGTGATTAGGATTATTTATGTTTTAGATTATGAAATTATTGCTCAAAATTGTTTGCATCACCACTATTTAGTCTCTTTTTCTCATAATCTCATATAAGTTATACACTAATGTCCGGTGTACAGAATTTGGGTCACAGAAGTTTTACAGGGCCCCTCACTGTGCAGGAACCTCACATGTATTAAAAAAAATTACATGGGCCACACATATGTATGTATTCTAGAAAAGGCCTATAAAATTGGCCTTTGTACGTGAAGCACAACTCTAAGTTATAATCACCAAGGATTGCATTAATATCACTAGATGCTAGTAACATCACTGTGAATTCATTGTAAGCAGATCTTTATCGAAGTGACACCCTTCTGCCCCCAAGTATGTCGAAATTGTCTTTATATTATATTCATGGGAAAATTGATGGTTTCGGGACCTTCTATTAGAATTGAATGTTGCATTGATATAATCAATTTGAGCAATGACTTCAAACTTGAAGATGAGCATACTAGATATAGAGACGCACCACGACTAGAAGCAGGACAGTACAACTTGCGATATAACATCCTCATAATTTTCATTATATTCCTTATATTGAGACGGGATAAGATTTCTTTGTTTTGTTATTTTAGTAGACAAATTTATTTCTATTTTTTAATCATATATTTTACGAGAAAAATAAAATTTTACAAATTTATTATTAAAAAAGGGGTCAAACAAAGGATTAGATTAGTTTTTAGAAAAAATAAGAAAACCAAACAGTGTAATGTTCCTTTTAGTTTGACTAAAAATCAATTATTTTAATAAATTTCATTAAAATTTTGATAAAATGTGTAGTTGAAAAGCTAATAAAGGTTGTGAGATTTATAAAATGTGTGATTGAAAATAAATTTAAAAAAAAAATGAGTCTTTAAAAATTGAAACTAAACTGAAGCTAAGTAAATTTTCTAATTTCACTTTATGTGTATGTATGCACATATTTTAGGAAGATATTTTTTGACTCCATAATAACTCAATTGAATTAGGGGTTACCTCGATCTCGGTGTACAGCCCCCTCACAATAGGGCCCCATATTTTGCTACTTGTTCATACAAAATGTCTATAAATGATTACCAAAAATGACGTGAATGGAAAAAATTAGATGAAAAAATTGATTGTGTTCTATACTGGCAAATGATAGAGTGTCATGTGACATTATATAATCTTTTATATTAATCTTAATATACATCTAGTAAAATTGATAGAGCCACTATTGTGACATCCCAATGTACATATAGCAAAATCTCTTGAACTAGTGACTCATTGATTCTATACTTTTTGGCATGAATCTTTGATTGATCATTGACTGGAACTTCTCTCATCATTGTGCGTCCTTATATTTGAACAAATAGTTTTGTTGTTTTACCAAGTAGGCCGACCCTCACAGTAGGTGGGTCCCATGCGGGATCCACTTGTATAAAAAATTGGCAAAAAACCTACTCACCCGCCCATGATGTGAGTGTTCGGTAGGGTTCATCCCTATACCTCAAGCTTGGTCCACAAAGACGTTACTATGAACAAAATGCATAAGCTAAGGCATTGTCCAACTAAAATGTGGGGTCAAAAATTGAAATAAATTTTTTTTAAACAACGTATCATTAATGTAGATAAGTCAGTACACTATTACAACTGCATTATCCAACTAAATTATACAAGTGGAGGTTAAAATGCATTGTCTAATATCATAACACGTCCAAATTTCATATCTTCGACTTCCAAACGATATTTATAAGAAATTATTGCTAACAAAATTGTTGTTTCTTACTCCTGTCATTTTCAAACTAAAAATATTTGAATATTTTAAACAATTTAATTTAAATATGAAGATGAAATGAACTAAAAATTAAATTATACATTAAAGGAAAACAATAGAAAACCTAGATTGTCTGAGAACATGAGGTCATAATTTTGAATTACTATGAGCATTATGTTGAATCATTGATCTGTGTTAAGCACTCAAACTTTCAGTTTTAGACAAGATAACAAGCAATGAGGATATGGGAGACAATATTTCTCAAATTCAAATGAAATTTAGAATAAAACAAATAAAATCAAACAAGTAGACTATTTATTTGTTACCTAGACGGAAGAAAAATCACAAAATAAGCACAATAAAAGAAAATTCGAAAATTTGAACGGTGGTCTCGAACTCTCCATAGACCACTGTGTCAATTCTTCTCTCTATGGTGTTTAGAGTAAAGTCCAAATGCATATGAAAAGCCACGTGAAGGAGTGGAGAGAAAATGAACTTAGTCACTTGAGGTTGGACAAGCAAAAGAACAATAAATGGTTTTGTGCAATTGGACTTGGCAATGAACAAGGTTTTAGGTAATTTAGTCATTGTTTGAGCCCCATTCTTTTCACAAGAATGAACTTTTGAATATTGTATTGATGAAAAATGTGTGGTTAAAAAATAAAGAAAAATTTTAGACTTGCATGTAATATTATTTTATTGAAAAATGTGTGATTAAAATGATATCAAAATATTATTTAAAGATGTATTTTTTTTTTCAAAGAATGGAACTCAAACATAGGCTTACAAATTAAAAAAGGGCTTGACAATGGACAAAGTTTAAATAATTTACATTTAAAAAAAAAAAAAAGAATAGGAATTTTTGTGGGGTCAATTGACCCCACGAACCCTACCTCGTACCTTAATCTTGGTCTACAAAGATGTTTTTGTGAACAAACAACCTGTTCGACTCCCATGCTTTGCTTCATTCTTTCCGATTTTTGTTAACAATTCATAGGTCTCACTAAAGACAGCAATCACGTCTCCATAGATTTGTTGCAGTCCATATGAGTGACATTTTGATCAATTAATTGATACCCACGATACTGCATGGCAATTGAAAACTCATTCCGATGGAATGTATGAGTGGACCACGGCTACTTTCACTACTAGAAATGGGGGCTTTAGAGACAATTTTTAACCAACAGAAGCCATCCGTTGCTATTAGTAACGATTATCAATGACTTTTCAACGAAATGGTATAAAAAATCTTTGACTATAAAATAAATATGGTAGCAACGGAATTACTAATAAAATATGGTCGTCATTAAAATTTCGTTTTTAATCTGTGGGTAATTTTTTTACACAAAATAAATATAAAAAATATAAAAAAAATTACCAATGAAGATTGTGACGTACTAATTGTTGATTGTAAAATTTTAAAAAGTGAAACATTAATTGAAATTTACCTACAGATTTTCGTTGTTAATGCGCTACATATCGGTTTGTAATAAATGTAAAATATTTCCTACAACTTGTTTTGTTAGTAAATGAGTTAGAGTTAAAAATAAATCAAAATCAAATATGAAATTAGAGCAGCCAGAACCCACGGTTCATCACATCCCCTTTTCCACCCTACGTTTCTCCCAAAATTTTAAAAAGTGAAACATTAATTGAAATTTACCTACAGATTTTCGTTGTTAATGCGCTACATATCGGTTTGTAATAAATGTAAAATATTTCCTACAACTTGTTTTGTTAGTAAATGAGTTAGAGTTAAAAATAAATCAAAATCAAATATGAAATTAGAGCAGCCAGAACCCACGGTTCATCACATCCCCTTTTCCACCCTACGTTTCTCCAATCTCATCTCGTCTCTGTCTCTTGAAATACTGGGCATCGCCTACACCGGCCTTCAATTGATTGATATATCATCAGTTATTGGGAATCTTCTTCGTCATTGCTCCGAGGTAGGTTGTATAAGATTTAACTCTTTTAGAATTTTTTTCTTCTCCATTATTTTTATTGCTACCATTGTTGCTATTTTCCAGAAAGTTGTATTGGGGATTTCATTTGGCTGAAATTTTTGCGAGTTTTGTGCTGGAGGGAAGAAGACTAAAAGTTGGGTGTTGGGTGAACTTATATTTAGGTAAATTGTAATCCATTATAATTCATATTTTTGTTGATAATTAGTATCATATTTCGATTTTAAGTTAGGATTACTAGGTTATACTGCAGTATTAGTGGAAGATTAGGTTTTTATATTTGAGATTATCAATAGTGGGACTTTTAATTAGTAAATGGAAAAATACAACCTTTGAATCAGTGAGTTTGCATTTGTATTGGACGATCAGGTTTTTAGGAGAATTGCTTCATTTTATTGATGATTTCTTGTTTGTGCTATTTAATAATCTGGGAAATTTTTTATGTGGGTAATAATTGGGGAAAAAGAAGGATCAGATCAACCAACTATAGGGGAGAAAAAACAACAATGGAAGAAACAAATCAAAAAACTAGAAATAGAGGAAGAAGAAGGCAATGGACTTAACTGATTGTGACTTTAAAATTGGTGATGTGGCAACTTATCAAAATGGTATCATTTTACT